GGAGCTAACAAAAGTTACCGTTTGCGTTTTGACTTTACCTTACATTTAATTATTATTATTATTATTATTATTATTATTATTATTATTATTAGTAACAAAATGATCCAATCTTTAATTTTTGTTTATTATAAAATTTATATTTAATTATATTAAAAATAGTAAATTTAAATTACCAAAACCATAGTGATTTTAGCATTATGCAAAAAGAAAAAGATGAAATTATAAATTTTTTGAAGTTAAATCAGTCACATGATCAATGTTTAGTACATACATACATATATTAAAACTATGCTTGAACATTAAAACCTTTCAATGATATATACGAAATTAACTATAAACAATATCTACATAAAATTTCTCAGTAAACAAGTGATGAATGGTAAACAACTTATTATAATTTTTAGATTAAAATAATAAAAAAACTCATGAATTTTATTATTTTATTTAGATAAATTCATATATTTTTATTGCACCAAATAAACTCTCTTTATTTTTAATTTGAACCCAAATAAATCCTTAACATTTAATTTATATCCAAATAAATTTTTAAACTTTATTTTGTGCCTAAATAAATACCTAACATAAATATTTTATTTAAAATAAAATTTTATTTAAATACAAATTTAAAAATAAAAATTTATTTGAATATAATAAAAATATAAAATCTTATTAAAATGATGAAATAGTTTAGAACTTTTTTAATGTGTCTCCAAACCTTCGGTCTAATTGCTAAAGGCACTTAAGGGGACATCAATGGTTTAATTTTGAATCAAGCTTCCTCCTCTTCTTTACTTATACTAAGATTTTGTACTCTGATATAATAAAAAAATTAATATTTTAACTTAATTTTAATTAAAATATTCATTTGAACAAAATATCAAAATTTGCGATAGTGATACTCTTTAATATGGGGTTTACTATGAGCTTGAGACATGGTTGTCTTTTTCAGAGCAAAATTTATGAAATTTTGTTCAGCTAAACTTGCTTGGGAACATGTTTGCAAGATGCTTTTGTGAAGAAACTTATTAATGCCACTGATGATCCTCGTGGACATACTATTCTTTTTTTCTTTTTTTTTTTAAATCTTGGGCTATGTTATAGGAGTTGTAGATTTTTATTTTCAAATATTAATTGATAAATTTTTAGATTATTTTAAATTAAATATTTTTATAGAAAATGCATAATAGAAGGAAGAGTAAAATAAAGTAAGAAAACAAAAAATGGCAAAAGATAGGGTGATAGATCAACTATAGTTTTTTTCTTCTCCAAAATTATTCAAACTCAACTTTTTTTTATAAAATATATATATATATATATGTGTGTGTGCGTGTGTGTGATTATATTTGCGTGGATACATGCTTTTTATCTCTCTTTTCCACATTGAAAGCTTTTTAATTATTTTTATGAAAGCAATATATAATTTTTAAAAAATAAAAATATATAAAATCTCATATATTTGGTATTTTTAAATAAGTTATTCTAAATATTGATTTTAAAAGCATTTATTTGAAAACCAAAGGGAATGACTAGAAAATAAAAAATGAGAGGAATAAAATTAATACAAAAAATTCATATTTCTCACTTTTTTATATAATTTATTATTTCTACTTATTTCTTTATTTTTATTAAGAGCCCAAAATATTTTTACTCAATATAAAAAAATTTAATTCACCAAATATATACTTATTAAATTTTTTAGTGAAATTATTCTAAATTATAATTTTTTATTAAAATTTATTAAAAAAAGGAAAATATAAGGAAACAAAGATGAGAAAATTAAGAAAAGTAAAAAATTTTTTTTTTCTTTGAAATTTTTCAAACTTTTTTTTTCTTTTCCTCTCTATTTTTGAAACGTTTCTCTTTTTTTTTTTTTTTTTGGGTAATTTTACAAGGTGACCATAAACTTTTGCAAAGAAATTTCTATCTGCAACCCCTTTTTACTCTCCACAGCCAATAGCTCTTTACAATCAAAACTCAAGCACCGAAGAGAAATTTTTACTCTTCAAAGCCATTACCCCTACCCTTGCATTTCCTTTCCCCTCTAACCTTCAAACTTTAATCTCACATTCGTTTTTATGGATTATTTGTTTCCGTCCTTCACATTCTCCCAAACCCTTCAATCCTCAATTCAATCAACCTTAAGACTCCAACTTTTGGATGAAATCAACAACTTCAAGTAATCCATTCCAATAAAGAGGTCATTTGATTTTCTTTTTATTTGATTGAACTAGATTAAAATCTATATATTTTGGGTTTTTTTTTTTTTTTTGCATGAATTAGTAACGTACAAAAATGTGTTTTCGTTAGGTTTCAAAAGAGAACGAAAATTCATATCTATCCTCGTTTAAAATCTTACAGTAACTCATTTCGGATATTAAATTCATGGCAACAAATATGCATATCCGTAATCTTTTTCGGTAAGCATTGAATTCATGTTGTTTCTTTATAATTCAATACCTGTATTCATATTTATTTATATATTATTCAGCATCAGTATAAACTATATTCAATATAGGATTAATTTGCATATTGGCTTTGAATTTATTTTGATGGAATGGTTGAGAGACAAATTGTTGACCTTTTGTTCTATCTGACAACAAAATGGCACAAACGAGAGGAGGTGGGGTATGTAGCGGTAGGGCACATAGTGTAGCCGACCCTGGGCCAAGTATAAGTCAATGGTGTCCAACTGAGAGGAAACAATGAGTCGAGCAACTTGATGTTGAGCCGATTGTTAACCATCCAGAGGATCATATTCTTTTTGAGAAAGTACTCCAACCCATCAGCATGATGATAGGGTGAAAATGATGAGGACAAGCTGTCTGAGCCTCTTCTTGGAAGTCTAACAGATAATTTTATCTTGAAGAGCTTCATGTCTCATGTTACGTTGAATACATGGAATGGTCAGGTAAATCAACTCAGTCAAGTAATTTGTATAGGCTTTATTCTTGTTAAAGTTTGTGAAGTTAATAACGAGATTCTTTTTGTTCTTGTTATTGTTGTTGATATTGTTATAGAAGCGAGCTATGTTGAATTTGATTAATTATAGGCCAAATTTACAGAACTAGTGTTTAAATGACTCCCACAAATTTACAAATCTTTCCAACTATGTATGGTAAGCTTGCTAACTTATTATCAATCAATACAGATTTAATCCTAAAGTAATGCCATGTGCAAGAATCTAACCAGTGGACCTATCTATAATGAATCAGCCAAATCTCCCTCTAAGATTTTCAAATGATAGGCAATTTTGCCCTTGTGCTGGAATCTGCCACTCAACATGTTAGAGTTAGGATTTGAAACTCCTTTTCAATTTGATCTGATGTCATTATCTTGAACACTCCTATGTCATTAGGAAACACTATCTGTATTGTGTTCATTAATATCAAATCCTTGCTAGTAACAATAACAGTAGATAATGTATCAGGAGACATCAAACTTTTTAACATCACATTGCCCAATTGTAGTTATCATAGGGCTCTGCCTTCGTGTATATGAATGCAATAAGAAATGTCATTCAGTAGATGTCACATTAACAATCTCTAGCAATAGGAGATGATATCTATTAGTTTTATAAGTACAATCCATAATCAATATACTAGAGAAGGCATTTAACAAATGTATACCAGTATTATGTACCTAGAACAACTCTCTCATATAGTCAATTGATTAGTTAGTCTTATGCCATTCCACATATTTATATTTATTCAATTTTTTTATGAATTGTTATATTTGTGATCTATCAGTTTTTTCAATAAATCTATACCTCTTTCATGCATTATATATAATCTTTATAATGATGACATTTTTTTCATCATGTTGTTTTAGGGTTATAATTATGTTCTTTAGTCTCACCATATTATTTGACATATCAACCGGTATAGTTTTTTTCTTTTCCAAATAATCAACCTACAAATAAATACTCCTCTAATTGTTTTGCAAGTAGATGATTGTGAAACTCATATACTACATTCACATACCCACTCATCATCCATTGGCAATTTAATTAACCCCATGTACCTCAAATGGACAATCACACTTCTTCATTCACCTTCCTTTATGATGCGTTTTTTCTACATTAGACTTATTCTTCAACTACCTGTAGTTGCACTTCATTCACATGCTTGTTTTATTTTAAGTTTTTTCTCGAGACCTTTTGATTCAAAGCTTTTAATAACAACAAAATCATTATTTTTTCCAACATCCCTAGCTCATGCAATAAAAGCTCCCTTGCTATAAAAACACCATCACAACATACTTAACTTATCACTTTGTGCTTTTATTCAAATTAAAGATAATCTAAATTTTAAAATACAATCATACCTCATCAGTAGTAAATACATAACAACAATAAATTTTGTTATCCAAATTGTTTGGTGATTGGTGTGATTCGACTAATGTAGTATCCAAACTTTTATGCATATTTGAAAATTGAAAAAAACGAAATTATAGGGTTTGATTTTCATATTTCTAGATATGGATATTCAAAAGGTTATCCATTTTTACAAAGTACTAAAAATGAACACCGTCTACCATCTGTAACCGTTCAGGGCTTATGATAAAGAAGAGAATAAGTTGAAAAACCTGGAAATGGGCATGGAAAGGAGGGAGCAGATTGAATAAGATTAATTGAGTAATTTATGAAGAGGGTAATTTTTTTTTTCATTAAAATACTATTGACTACGGTAAGCAATTTTTGGGACTCCATTTAAAAACTGTCTTTTTGCAATTAAGTTGCCACCAAATTTTCGGCATTGTTGAGCAAACGAGGCACAAAATCAACCAATCAATTAAAAACAGCAAGCTCGTTACAACTGGTAGTTAGGCAAAACAAAAAACACTGCCTAAACAATGCAACCAAATTAGTGGAACCCAAAACCAAACCCAATTTTCATATTCTTCTCCTCGTTGCCAAACACACCATACAATATAATTACTCACACTATCAAACCCTGATTATCTCACAGTTGTAAAGACTCTGTCAAGTTAGATTTTTACTTCTACATTTGATCATCTGGTCCTCCAAGCATCACCTGCATTTCATATTTTTCACATTTCAATTATTTTTTTAGAAAAAAAACAAAGTACTGACAAAACACATTTAAAATTCTTGGTTTTTTAAAATTCTTTGGAAAAGAAACCTTACAGCTCCATTAGGAACTTACGCTACAAGTCAAGAGCATGCTTCTAGCAACCATAATAGCTGCGTTCCTTTCTCTCTCGGATTCAAATGTTAATACATAAGAGAGTCCTTTCCTTGGTTGCCAAAACAACGACTTCGCCGGAGCATTAGCATCACCTCTAACTCCACATAGCTTAATTGGGAAAGCAAAAATGTGATAATAGCTATCAGTAAAGTACCGACTGCATCATAAATACTGAAGAAATAAAAAAACAACCGAAACGATTACCAGCATTGTTGTGGAATATATTTCTCTGGACTTAGTGATCCATCCTCTACAAAGCTTGATCCTCATCTTTCCAACACTGAAAGCATGGATCGAACGTGATGGATGATCTTGACCATTGATTTGGGAAATGACTACCTAGAAAAACATCATACGAAGAAACTTGAATTAAAACTGGGTGATACAAATATCCCTACCATGTGGACCGGTGCCAGAATAAAAGTTATAATGAACCACAATAACACTTGAAGCATAACTATTTTCTTAACTTTCTTTGTGTTAATTAACATGGGGAGAAAAGTCAAATTATAGATTCAGAACAAGCGCCCATGCATCTATAAATTCTTTCTAATAAATTATCAAACATACATCAGAAAAAAGAAAATAACTTAAACTTTTCAATTCACTATGCTTAGGCGAAGTTTGTTTAGGACAATTTTGCATCCAATCAACATGATTTAAGACTTTAATCCACCTCGTAGAACCATGGCTTTCAATTTAAACACCAAAAGTTAAGAAACAAAACTCGATCCCTTGAATCTAGTAGAACTTGATCAAATATTAGCTCTACTTAATAATAATTAAAAAAGAAATGAAAAAACTCTGATAACCAAATTAGGAATGATATTGGACCCAGAAAATATATGGATTCCACTTAAGAGAATTGGAATTCTTAAGTTTGGATGAGACAATTAGACTCCTAACGCTATTTGGAAAGATAATTGAGCCGAGGAATGAAAAGAAATCCAAAGCCTCAGAGTTGGCCATGCAAGGGCCAAGAGAAACACCTAAAACATTGACATTTTGCACCTATTGGTGGTGCTAATTAGGGGATGCAATTGAGCCAATTTAGTGAAAAGCTCAAGCTCACTAAATTTCAGTCAAAATTTAGTTATATTAAGTTCAGCTCAAAAAGCAATTAAGCTACTCAAGTTCAACTTAATTCACCTTGATTATCAACCTGAATAATAAGGTCAAACTAGGATTGACTTCAGACTTGAGTTTGATTTAAAACCAAATGAAATCTTAAAAAAAAGAAAATCATATTTTTTAAAATAGAATCAATATTTTTTAGCTAAAACTGCATTACTCTATCATAAAAAATTGAAAGATTAGTTAGACTCTTTAACTGCTTGAGCAGAATATTAAAATACTTAAACTCGAGTCAACTTGATATTCAAGCATGGCTTGACAATGACTAAATCAAGTCCTTATTCAGCAAGTTGAACCTAGGTAGCTTACGAGTAATTTGACTAGCAGCCCTTGCACTAGCAAAGTGCAACACAGAATGAGCACTAAAAGAATACCAATCTTAGAAAATTTTTAGTTAAAGATAACAAAAAGAGAAGTGAAGTACTTGGACTTTGTTTTTTTCCCAATAAGGATCGGAAGGGAAGAGTTTTAAAAGTAAATTTTTGTAATTTTTTTTCCTCTTGGAAGAAAATTGTTTTACATTTGCTAAAAAAATGGGAGATCTCAAGGGAAACCATTTTCAAGAAAATGCAACACAAATACAAGCAGTAGCTAAAACATGTCAATTAAAAGAAATTGATGATAGCCAAGCTTCTCATAGTTTTCCTTATTTAGCAAACAAAGCAATTAAAAAGAGTTTCTCTCCCCTCTCTTTGTTACCCTCCCTCTTTATTTTGCTTTATTATTTCCTTTGTCCACTTTAATAACAAAACCAAACAAATCATAAGCATCATCAATTACCATCTTCAATCAGCTCATTATCTCTCAACCAAAATCGAATGATCATGGACAACATAAGGATGATGAAGTAAATCATGGCACGATGGCAATTTACAGAAAATCAGCAATTAGAACTAAAAGATTTAACAACCAAATGCACATTTTAAAAAAAACTTTTTGATATTTGAAATCACATATGTAGGTGGATAAAGTGGCAAGAACCATCTAACAAAAATAAGCAGAATTATCATTTTGAAATACACCAAAGCTACTTTGTTTCCCCTTTTTTTAGGCACAACAAAAGAATAATAAGGCTCAAACCTAGGATCTCTATCTGCCCCTACTTTCCAACCACTTTAGGTAAGCCTAAGGGGCAAATGCTCAAAATTTGCATCATTACCCCAACCCCAGAAAAATGCAACACATATATAAAGCTCCATTTGTTTTGTAAAAAATAACTTCTAGAAAATTATTTCTGTATGTTTTAATATTTGTTTAGTAGTAAAAAATTGATTGATCAACGAAAAGACTTACAGTCAATGAAAAATAAGGTTATTTCTTAAAAAATTATCTTTGCTTCTAAAAAAAAGGACGACAATATCCAGAAAAAGGTTATCTATGGGTAAGACAAATAACCAAACGCGTGAGCATAGTTTCAGTTAAACCGGACCTCAGACATAATTTTTAAGTTCAAGCTTAAGTTGACCCAATCAAAAATATTAATATATTAATAAAAATGTATTTTTGTTTAAAATTTAAAATATTAATATTAAAAGTCATCTAACATTTTAATTTTAAATAGTTTATACATCTACTCAAGATAGACCTTGTACATAACATTTTAAACTCAAATTTGATTTAACTCGATTCGAAATATTATTATATTAATAAAAAATATTTTCATTTAATTTTGATTAAAAAATTAAAATATTAATAGTAAGTATTTTATATTTTAATTTAAAATATTTCTATGTTGTGTATTATTAATTATAAATATTTGTAATATTTCAATAATAAATAGTATTATATTATTATATTATTATTTTAATAATAAAATCAATATAGTAAATAATATTTTTATTATTTTAATAATTAATACTATTTAATATAATAAAATTTTAATTTTAATAATACAAATATTTTTAATCATTTTTTAAAATTTTTAAATTTAAAATATATTATTTTTATATTTTATTGGCCATTATATCTATATTACTATTTTAATAATAAATAAATAATGCATTCATTATGATTTAATAATAGATACTTTCAATGTAAAATATAATTATTTTAATCGTATAAACATATTTTAATAATAAATATTGCTATTTTTAATATTATTATATTAATAAAATTAAATAACATTTCAAGAATAATAATACTATGTTAAATATTTTAAAATATTAATATAAATAATAAATAGGTTTTTTTAAAGTGTATAATATTAATATAATATTTTAATATTAAATATTATTATTAAAATATAATTATTTTTTAATATTAATATTTTTAATAATAAATAATTTTAATATATTTTAATAATAAATAATTTTAATATTTTAATAGTTACATCAATATTATTTTTTAAAAAAAATAGATTTTTCAAAAAACAACCAAACTACAAAAAACATTTTTCATTGACTCATTCAAACAAAAATTTCTGCTCTTCCAATAAAAATGTAAACATTTTCCAAAAAATATTTTCTGAAAACCAATTTCTGCGAAACAAACAGAACCTAAGCAAAAATAAGTTGTCTAGCCCCATGGCTGAGAGACCATAATGATATACTAGCACAAAATCACATATAGAGAAGGATCATAATATCACTAATGGCCAAATTAATTGGAGTAATTCTAAACCCATTGCCTGGTCTTTGGCAGCATGGCAAAGAGTAGAAGTAACTAACAGAAGAAGCAAGCATACATTAAATTCACTGCTGGATTTTCGCAAAAGTGTCTCCACATAGCCTCCCAAACCTGCAGCTGTAAAAGTAACTTTATCAGCCTTTCTTGCCTTGTTTTCTAGGCATCAATACAATAATGCCAGGCAGAAGAGGTGCAGAGGAGCATGATCTGACATTTAATCATAACATGCAATTTTAATACTATTAAATAATTAGGCACATAAATCAAAAGCTGGCAGCAAAACATTGAAAGAGAACAAGCATTCGATAAGTCAAATTGTACATTTGGATGTAAACTAACCAGAATCAATAGGACTTGCAGTTGTCACAGAGACTTTTTGGCCATTTGAGAGAATTTCAGCCTGCAAAATTCGACCAACATCAAGGGGGTCTGGGGCATACATTGTTTTGTTGGCACCTGATAATGCAAAAAACTGAACTAGTCAATAGAGTAGGATGCAATGTAAATGACATAGGTTATCAAACAACAATGTTTTTTCTAACCCATTCAAGTGAGAAATTAAACCTTTCAATGAGTGTTAGGTTCTTATACTTGATCAGACAGAAGTCAAGTATGATATAATGCAACTCTGATCAGCACAGCTAGCTGTAATTTTTTAAATTTGTGGCCCCATGTATCTAACTTGGACCTATGGGCCAAAAAAAAGCTTGGATCTAAACTAAAGCACTACCTACAGAAGGATGAATAAGCAACTGAACCAATAAACATGGAGGATAGGACATTTATAAAGTTATATCGGGCTTGATGGCAGAAATAGAGAATATCACAGACATCTGTTAGAGTTTACAGCAATTAAATGCACATTAAATCACTTTTGAAAATGGGTAAAATAATACACAGAGAGTCACCCAACTTTGGGCGACATTTTATTTTGGTCACTCAACTATAAAATCTATGAAAATGGGTAAAATAATACACGGAGAGTCACCCAACTTTGAACGACTTTTTCTTTTGGTCACTCAACTATAAAATCTATCAGCATAGCCACTAACATTTGAGAAAGTGTTTTCTTTTTGTAACCCAGCCATTAGTATCTAACGGAATACTGACAGGGCACTCTACTTAAGATGTCAGGCCATATGGCAGGCTCACATCATAAAAAATGCCACATTGGCATCATTGACGTGGCATAATAAAAAAAAATTTTCCCCTTCCCTCTCTCTCTACCTTCTCAAGCTTCAAAAAAACAATCACATACCATCAATGCCAGACTGTAGACATTACCACCATGATGGCCCTCCGGCCACCACTCATTGATGTCGGAATCCTACCAAAATGAGCTCACTTCTTGCTCTTCACCTCCTAAACACTTCTTCCAGACTAGATTTCTTAAAAAACCCCTAGAATCTCCTATATCTAAGACCTAAACCTGATATTTCCTACACCAAAAACTCCAGCTGCGCCAATCCGAAGCCCAGAAAACCATCTTAGGTTGTTTCCCTATCATTTCTCTTCCATTCTACCTAAAAACCGAAACCTGAAGCCCCTGGTCTGCCACCACAGCTGCAGTCCAAATACGATTTTCCTCTTCCCCTCTCCCTTTTTAACTTTCCTTACACCTAAAACCCTCAAACTGAAAAAACTGTTGTTACCACTGCCCGGTAGTGGCTGCCAGAGAACCCTAGCCATAAAAACCTATCAGCATCATTGCCATAGATGAAGCAACATAACATAATAGAATAAAAAAGCAGCAAAAAATTTGGTTTTAGTGGCGGAGAAGGGTGGATGCAGGTGGCCTTTTGAGTCTCAGATTTTTGGGTTCTAGGGTCTTTTGACCTCAGATTTTTGGGGTTGTTTTAGGAGCTTCTCAAGTTTGTGAAGGGGTAGAACTGGACTAGAGGAAGAAGAAAACGGTGCCGGTGACAAATAGGTTTTAAGGTGTGGGATTTGGTTTTAAATTTAGGACTTTCTAAGAGTTTTTAGGAAATTTTTATATGATATAAGTAAAAAGGGAATCAAGGAGAAGACTTTGGGGCGAGATTTGGAAAGAAATCTGGAACCAGCAAGCAGCAGAAAACGGTCACAGATGGTGATCCAGCACCAGTATCCGGAAAATGATGGCAGTAGTGGTGTTGAACGAAAGAGAGTAGAGATTGGGAAGTCTAGAGAGAGAAGAGAAGTAGTAAAATGAAAAAATTTTTGGCTAAGGACACCTGTTTTTTTTAAAAAGCTGTGGCAATTGAGCTGACATGGCCAAGTCATGTGGGATTGTCAGTCTAGGTGCGTGACCACATCATCCACTGCTAGCCCTCATAAGGCTGGGTGACCAAAGAAAACATTTACTCAAAGGTTATTGACAAAAACTTTAGATTTTATAGTTGGGTGATCAAAATAAAAGGTCATCCAAAGTTGGGAGAGCATGTATTTTACCCCTTGAAAACACTATGATAAATTGAGTTACCTATATAAATCTGCCTGTACGTTATTTGTGTGGGCAAGTACTCGTACAGCTATATTCTTTTGATAACAATTAACAACCAGTTAACAACGGTAAAGGATGTTTCTGACATTCCAGCCGTAGAAGTAGTATTCATACAACAACATAAGTACTCAAGGCATTATTTCACATGGCCTTATGTTCACTTAATGTTCATATTAAAATATCTCAATTACATGGAATTTGCTTGACAAGTTTAATAGGTATTCAATTTAAGAGCATTAGTATCACCTGCAATACCGTGACTCTTTGGTAGAAAACCCTAGATAGAAAGTTCACCGAACAGTATGTTTAATGACATAACTAACCAAGACAGCTTCAGTGAGGTTACAAGACTTGCAGGTAAAAAAACATTCATGAAGTAGATACCTGAAATTATTTCCCTTTGATTTCCGTCAGATGATAGTCGATACCACTGAATTGAAGATTTTGAAAGCAATGGAGCATTATCAGAGCAAGGCTGGAGTCGTAAGCATGAACCAAGAGTTTCAGAACCATGCAACACATATACAAGGGATTTGTTCTTCTCAACCTTCTTGTTTATTGCCAGCTGTAATTAACTAGGCATAAATTAGAACCTCAGAATTTATCATAAACCAGACTAGGCCATTCCACCCACTAATATTTAAGGCTTGATTGGTACTATGAAGAGATAACATGCCAGGAAAAAGATGGTCACAACAGGAAATTAATAAGGAAATATATCTTAAAACTAACCAAAGACCTTGTTGGAAGTAAGGAAATGATGTTCAAGACTTAGAAGCATTGGCTACCAACATCCAGTAACAATCTTAACCTGTAGGCTAATGAAATTTACCTTCCAACATTTTGAGTTATATTAATACAGTAATATTACAAAATATTCAACTTTCACAGAACCTAATGACTTCCAAGAAGAGTTTGGTAGGCTCTGTCAATTTGATGCACTTTGGTTTTCAGCACCACGGAAATTATCTAAACATTATCGCAGCTCTTCCCAAGTTGGCTCTTATTTCTTGTTTCATTCAATTAGTATCTTTCAAGAAGATTAACTCATGAATACTAATCCACCACCATTTTATCCAAATTCCAAACCTATATACCGAAAAGATATATAATAAGTATATAACCAAGCATAATTACATTTGCTATATGATTTTAAATGATTTTACTACCAACTTTCTCTGTTGAATCTATGTATAGATCTTCCTAATATCAGACATATATAACCATTTTGCAACATCCTTAGATGGATTTTTCTTGAGTAGTTATAATTTTACTAGTTTACCCATGAGCATAATGATGGAGGATGCACTATGCTAGTTGAGGGATTAAATTACCTAGGGCTTTATTTTATATTTTATGGGTTTAATTTTAATTTTTATATATATTTAGGATATTTTAAAATATTTAGGTAATAATATATTAATTAGTATTTTACATTCTTTTTCCAAGTTTTTGAGTTTTAGGATTATATTTGGTAATTTTCATTTTATTAGGGTTTTGGGTTTAGTTATAAATACCTATGTTATTTTAGTTTCAATTAGGCTTTGAATGATGAATATTTAAGTTATTTAGATATTGAGTATCAAGATTTTCTCCATCTATTGATTCTTTTCTAGTTTCTCACATAGTTCTGATGTTTCTCCCTAATTGTTTCAGTCTATTTCTGATTTTCCATCTAGATTTCTATATTCTATCTCTTCCCTCTACTTGTTCTACATCAAATGATCTGCAGCTACTAATTGCAAGTATTGCACATGTTCAACAACAGGCTACATAACCACGGGGGACGGGGGTTAATTCTTTATTATTAGCAGAATCCTAGGGTTAGTTATAGATTATGGGATGTCTTGGTCTTCCTAGAGAGTGCTGACTTCATGAGTCCAAATATGGTGCTACCCCTTAACCTTCCCTTGAGATGTTTGACGACACCTATGTGTAAATCTTGACACACATGACATTACCAATCAGAAGACTCACCTTAACAGCCACTCACCCTAACACATTTTCAATCTGGTGAGCTATTACTGCCCTTCGTTGTATTAACTAAACCCTTTTTACCTCTTTACATGTGTTATCCTAATCTCATAGGAGAATCACACTCACATGCAAGAGTTTCTCGCACTCTTCTCTCTCTAACTCTATTTCACTATCAAGACAAATCTACTGTATTTTATCATAAAAGTACCATCAAGCAGTCCAATGGTATTATTGTAACATAAAAAATTCAACATACCTCTTTTTGGAGCTTTATTGAGAATATAGATTTTTCTCGAATTTGAGTTCTTAGAGCACGAAGTTCATGCTCCATATCCATCACCTGAAAACATGACATCAACAGCTGCCATTATATCACAATCATATATTTAACAATAAATCTCATCTACTTAACTGCAGATGTAAATGTAGCCAAGCAGCATACATAATAGTAAGAGAAAAGTAGAACTAGAAAATAGATTTATAATTTGTTACAAAGGATAAATAAACAAAGAACAGTAAGTGACAATATTTGTAGCACAGTTGGGCCTTAAATCATTAATGTGAGGCTATATTATTAAAAACCAGAAAATACAAGCAAATGAACAAATAGGTACCACAATAAAACATTGTGTTCAATGTCATACAATGAGAAAGAAAGAGGCAAAGCAATTCACCTATGTTGAAAAATATGGAAAGAGCTATGCATCAATAATGACACCAAAATTCTACAATTTAATTGATGGCATGGGTAATGAATAATGTTGCATTTGGAGCCTTGACATGTCAATTAAGCATAGCAAATGATGATCCAATAAGTTGGACACTGAGTTCCTAAAAGCTACAAGATGAAGTTATTTATCAAATGCAAATTGTACTTATGTTTTCATTCAATGATACACATATTCAATCATATGCCTACATATATACATACATACATACATACATACATACATATATATATAGATATATATATATATATTCTATAACACTGAGAGACAGAGAGAGAGAGAGAGAGAAGATGATCAAATTGCAATGATGTAACAATCCATACCGTTACTCTCTTCAATAACTTCCAGTTCAATGAATATTTTGACAAGCCAACTATTGGATTTAAAAACCTATTCAAACATACCACACACTTTGAATTTCCAGTCAATCCAATATCTATATCACAATGATCAAGAATGCTATCTTTTTTATATAAATTTAATGGTTGAAATTTTATTATTATTAAACAAATAATTATAATTTTCAATTAACTTGAAATTTGGCATGCATGATCTACATGAATAGAACATAAGATCTAACAATAGGATTTACAAAATACATGAAAGGATGCAAAACTTAATTAGTTTTACACCAGAGTAAGTGTACCCCTCCTTCAATATATATATATATATATATATATAGAGAGAGAGAGAGACAGAGACAGAGACAGAGACAGAGATGCAGTAGCTGAAATAAGACAAAGCCACTTCTTATAAACACCCTTTTACAAATAGTATTTCATTTACTGCGATGAGAGCCATTTCATTTGATTCATGTAGTTGTATGGTAAAATAGAAGTTAAGAATTTGGACAATAACTCAAAGAAACAAAAAGGAAAGAGAGCTTTCTCTTCGATGCAAACATAAAAATTAACTAAAAAGTAAAAACTATAATGCATAAGAAAACTCATACAGACAAATAACCACATTTAGAGATTATCAACAAATATCTATAATCTAATAGAACAGCAGTGATGCTCAACTATCTGCATTTTCTAGAAACCCTAGTTCAAAGACAAGACCTAGGAGACTATACTAACACACCTTGCTTGGCTGATGCATCAATTTAATTCTTCTAGCCTCTTGAACTTCCTCTATTAGCTCCTCAACCTCCTGCAAGAGATAAAATCAAAGATTAATAAAGTATGTAACATCTTCAACATAGAAACATTCAATCACAATGCACAAAACCTATCTTTGACATGCATCTCCTATTTTAATCACATCACAGGCATGGAGATAAGTGAGAGACTATAACACAAAGGAAAACATACATGTACCTATATAAAAAACTGATCAATTTCCAATATAAATTCAAAAGTGAAGGATAAAAAAATTAATACATTGAAAATTCAATCCATTAAAACAAAACTAAAACTTTTTACTGTGAAATAGAATTGTAATTAACAGATATACCACCAACGAACATCCAAAATTACAATACTGTGGTAAAAAGTGATTTTCTTATCAGGAAATGAAGTCAAAAGAGGAAAACAGGAAAGTACTCTGGCAGTAAGAAGTATATAATAGCCATTTACCAGGATACCAGGAGCTAAATCATAAATGAGAGAACTTAAACAATTGTTTTGATATGAATCATGTGTACAAAAGGATTTTTAGCGTTTACAAAGACACTAAGCTTACTAAACATTATAAGTTGAGATACATGAGCATCCAATGATCAAAATAAAAGTTCTTAGAACAACAAATTAACGCATTTGGAAATGGAGGCACAAAATAGATATGTTGGAAACATTTACTCCCCATGCTCTACATACTATCATTTTCTATGTTAACAGCATACATGTATAAAATTGGCCATCATCAGCTGACGTGTGTGTGTGTGTGTGTGTGTGTGTGTGTGTGTGTGTGTGTGTGTGTGTGTTTATATGTTTATAGACACATTACTTGGACAAGCCAACTCTTTTAAATCAAATATTATTCAATGATAAGACATCAATCAAATCCAAGCAATAATCTTCCAAATGCAATAAGTAAAAGACAAAATATTCTAATAAATAAATATGCTATACTGCATATCTTTGTTACAATTTAGACCTTATTCCAAACCAAAATTGCAACATGAGATAATTACAATAACCTACTTAGATAAAGTAAGATAAGACAACACAAGAGATATACATGGTTGGAGAACCTATTACCTACATACACACGTAACAATGAAGAAGTTCACTACCAACATTATGAGATTATGGTGAGGTTTAGTTCTCACTGAATCCCCTAAAAGAACCAATTTCTCATCTTAAGTTACTCACTAAGATTTTTATCGATGTTAGACTTTCTTAATGATGATACCTTAAAAGACTTCTATATGAAAATAATAGAAATAAGTTTAAGGCATCAACACCCCAAGATTTCTGGCTGAAAGCAAGTTACAAACTAAAAGGCATCAACACTCTTTTTACATGGTGATTGACACCCCTGTGACAAGGGAAACCTTGGTTAAATACAAGCCACATTTTCCAATACTTCTATGAAGAGCATTATTATTTTAGTCTGAATTTGCAGTCTAAAATAGCTGACTAAATACAATTGCATGGTACTAATTAAGTGCAACTTAGAGTAGTTATGCTGTGTCTAGTTGGATTATTTACTTGGCATTAAAAGTTAGACAAAAAAGCTTCTCACTTCTGAAACTGATGAATTACGGAGGAAAACTAACTTAAACAATTCAATGAAACCTGTGTTTTTTGAGAATTTTCTGGATTCTTTTCTTGCTCATCAAGGGCCTCACCAAATCGCTGCACTACAGCCCTAGCACTTTCAATTTCAGCACAAGCAAAAGATTTTTCTTGATTTACTAACTTTTTAGCATCTTCAGAAGCCTGCAGATATAAAAGAGCAAATTTGATTCAGTAAAAATGAAAACAGATGATCCTTCAGAAAGAAAATTTTAAAAGCAGGCAATAAAAAAGCGCATTAGCAATAGTACAATGCCCAGAGATTTTTTTTAATAGAAAGAAAAAACAAAACATAAAGATTCAAACTGCAAACTCCTGACAAGGCTGATCTTCATTTGACACATGAAGAGAATCAAGAACAGTTTCAGACCAAACAGAAAAATGGTAAAAAAAAAAAAAACTCCTTTGCTCCTGGCACTGGACTTAACCAGGCCTTACAAATGAACAAGTTACGTCATGCCTTCATACAGGAAATACTAGTGCCGCCTTTAGAATTCTTAAGTTGCGTTCTTCCACTCAGAAAACATGCTTGATCACGATAATCAGAAACATACACACAATCCAAAACTTGACTGCCATTAACTGACCTGCTTGAGAAAATTTGCCAGTTTTTTCACTTCAAACTTCTCTTGAATCAGTTCTCCTTCTTTTTGAGTCAATTTAACTGCTAAAGCCTCAACCTGAACGTTTTACAAAGTGAAAAAAGTAGTTATAGCCAAAAAATTATGATGTAGAATGTCTTCAATGAAAAAAAATATCAAGATCAGAGATGAAATTTTGTATTATGCAGAAGAAAACTCCATAGGTGAGGATGCACATACATGAATGACTATGCAAAGCTCACTCACTTGCACATGTCTATTTGGTCTCAAAGAAAACATTTAATGATGGAAAACATTGATAATTTGGCACGAAAGTAATGAGTTACCATGAGAATTTGAATATGAAATACATGGCCAAGGTTGCATGCAGAGTCAACTTCTCTCTATTTATTCAATGTTCACTTGTTAAGATGAATAAGCATTTATGTTTATGTACACGTTTTTTTATGAAGCAAGTTTTTGTACATATTTAGACCATACCACAAAATGCTTGGAACATGGCTCAGGTCAATTGGATCCATCAGAGCATCCACATAAGCATATAGTTCACATAAAACTGGATATTAATCAAAGTTTGATTTGTGTTAGGGTATTAGCTCCTACCAGATTCTATCAAGAGGTAAATTAAAATTAAACAAATACATAACAACTAAGCACTGTCAAGCTTTTTTTTTTTTTTTTTGCCTTCATCTTGCAGTTTCCTGGATAATTTCCTAAGAGAAGAGAGACAGAAGCATTGATTTTTTTTTTTCAAACTTTCCTAAGATATTCATATAATAGAATAATTTCTGAATTTAGTGATGCTAGACCAATCTGTATTTTTATGGTTCATGAAATGTTTAGAAAGTAAGGATTTATCCTTTTAATGTTATATTGTGATTTATAACAGGAACTAGAGAGGCACAAAATAAAGTTCTACCTTGGCATGATAAGTGTTTTTGAATATCATCCATGTAATAATCATTTTTATTCAATGCATAAGGAAAAGGCTCAGTGCAATAACTTAGGCATGCCCAGAAGGAAAAAGAGCTGTAAACTACAAAGCAAGAATTAGGTTGGTCTTCCATTTCAAAAAAAAGAATTAGATTGGCCTTCTTAGCTGCTATAGCAGACCTGCATAAACTAACAGTAAAAAGAAAAAAGGAATATGGCTTATTGTTCATATGAATGCATGATGTGGCTTGGTGACACATGATTACATTATATCATGAAAGAGAAGGGTTGCACAATTGGAACACTATACATCAACCTGCTTCCAATTTTTGAATTAAACAAAGCTACTTGTGACAGGTGTGACACATTAAGCTTAAAACCAACAACTTGGTGAAAAAAGAAAATGAGAAAGCAAAACAACTAACCATAGAAATAGCCTGCTCGACATCTTCCTTGTTTCTCCCAGCCATACGGCCTCTCAAAGATTCTAAGGCATCTCTAAGTTTCTTCAAAAGAACATGCCCCTCCAAAGAAGCAACCTCTCTAAGTTTTGCCTGAATTCCAAGAAAATAAGTGTAATTCACTAAATCATCCATTGTCAATGAAATTGATATTGCTGTCAGACAATGGAAGAAAAGAGAGTTAAACAAAGACACTATAGATGGAGCTAAATTTTTGTTGAACTACACGATGATTTCCGTTCAGATATTGGAAAATACCAGATAGAGTTGAATGGAAAAAAGAGAATCATTCAGATGACCCATGACACCCAATTAGCTAGAGTCTGAATGTTAGCAAGCAGATTTTTTGCATCTTCTTTTTTGGAAAATATTGGAGCAAACAAAAATAAATGGTGGTAACCTCATCAGCCAACTTTGCAGCAGCAGCAAGGTTCTTATCAAATTTACTAGCAAGGTCACGAACTGAGAGTCGCTTGTGCTGCCCAGATAATTGTGTTGTTTCCCTTTCAACAACCTCCTTCAGTGATGGCCCATTGTTGTCCCCTCTTGTCTCCTCCAAAATCTGATTGTCAGGTCCTAATTTGTACTTCGGAAAGTGGTCGGAAGCAAAGCTCACATCAACCGAAACAGCCAGAATTGATTCTGTGAACATTGCTTCATCAATTTCAGGACTTATCTTTATCATTTTTGTGTCAGTTCTCTGCTCCTTAGAAATAAACACAGAAAAGAAAACAACCTCATGATCAGACCTTAAGCAAACTACTAAAACATCAGAAGCATTTAAATTTCACCTCAAAATTAATTTGCATAATTAATCCAATAAAATATTTATATTTTATTCATTGAACTGAAAAATATATGAATCAGAAAATCACATTCTGAACTTAAATATAGCTAGTGAAATCTTGCATTTAGTAACAGCTTTTGGCGAAACCATCATCAAGCACCAGAAAAACTCAAATCAAGCAAATAAGACGTAGACATTCTATACTTGAGTAACAAAAGCAAATCAACTCAACCAAAAAGGAGATTACAAAAAAAAAAAAAAAAAGAAGAATGAAAGGCAAAATAGAAATCTGCATAAATCTA